ATGCATTAATCTGGTTCTGGATATGAGTACAAGGCTTCTAATTGCCTTATAGTAGCTACACTATAAAATTTGGCTGAACAATATACCTAATCGTATTGTTGTATTTTAGCTGATAAACCTTTTATTTTGATGAGGTTAGAAAAAAACAACTTATTATTTGTTTAAAATTAATGTAGCTGATAAACCTTTTATTTTGATGAGGTTAGAAAAAATAACTTATTATTTGTTTAAAATTAATGTAGTCTCTAGGATACGAAATATTTTTCTTTCTTAAAATCCGGTTTAAAGATAAAACGGCTGGAAGTAAATAAACCACAGAACAGGAGAGACAATAATGTTTTCTTGTATACTATAGAACTGACTAAAGCAAAATGATCATCACAAAAGCATTACACTCTATAAGCTTTCGCACCTGGAGAATTCAAGTTAAAAGCTGAAATTTAAAAATAGGACTATATGTTAATTTTCCTTTTAATATATATGTCCCCCATTTGGGGCAGCGGTAAGTTTCTGTGCTTACAATGCTAAAAATCGGGTTTCAATTCCCCGCAGTGGAGAGAGAGAGAGCAGATAACCTACAGCGTAACTTGACGTGAAAACATAAGAAAACAATTAAGATATTGCTATGCAATGTGCTTGAAATAGTTTCAGTAATAAGAGATTGCAAACATTTCTTTGTTTGATATGTTATTCGATGAAAATAAATGGTTTAGCCAGGGACGTACCTAAAGTATTTGGCACCTGGGGCGGACTCTTCCTTTAGCACCCACGCCCCATAAATAATTTTAAAATTTAAACACACAGAAAAATATATTATGTTTGCAAGTAGATTTTTAAACAGTGCAGTACTGTCATAAGCAGATTGGAAATAAGAAAAATGCAGGACATTAAAAATTCAGTGAACAGGTAATACGGCATTTTATTTTATATAAAAAAATCCAGTCTCAACCCTAAGCCTATTATTAAAAGATAAATAGAGAGGATTTACAGTCTTTGATTTCGAGTCTTAATTTCTGAAAATTGATCAATGATCTCATCAAAATTCGCTTTATTTGCATATTCATGTTCAATTGAAAGTAAAGCCAGATTTGTCAGTCTTATCTGACTCGTGGTCGAGCGAAAGAAATTTTTTATCAATTTCAATTTTGAAAACCTTCTTTCACATAAAGCAATAGACACACAGACAGTCAAAAAGAATTTCAAACACAGTGACAAGCTTGGCAGAGATTCACAAAAATCCCATTTCACAATAAACTCCAAAAAACTGTAATGCTGTCCATTTCTTTGTCTATTTAATGTTGATTTTGGCAGCTTCCAAATGCCTCCAAAGTCGTCCAATTTCCACACTGATATCTTCATTAGAGAATTCATCAAAAATCTATGTCAAATTTGGAATATGCTTCCTAAGTTCTTCTTCTGTTGCAACAAACAAAGTGTTTAGCTGAATAACAGCGACGATTGACATAATTTGATGCATTGGCTTAGAACGAATCTCCAATTCTTGATTAAAGCGATCAAGACATTCAAACATAGCCATTTTTACTTCCTCTGACAATGTGAGACCAGTATCCTTTGCCATCTCTCCTGGCATCCTTTTTCGGAGCTTTACTCTCCCTCTTCTCTCCATGGAAATGTCCATTTCCTCACACTTTGTAGTTGCATAATGAATGGCCCTCTCCACAATTTCATTGTGCTGATCTTCAAGAAACAATTTTAGAGCCTGGAGCTTCACAGTGCACTTTTTTAAGGCTGATTCTAACTCTGCAAATAGTTTTGTGTGAGATTAATTTCTTCCAGGACTTCACACCAGAAAGAAAGGTAACTCAAAAGAGAGAAATCACACACAGAAATCAAAACAGGATCATAATTTCACAGCAACTCTACCAATGTTATGAAGTTTCCTATGTTTGCTGATGACATGTCCTCTTTGTGACTACGAAAAGAAGATTCTGGTGAGCCAGAAACAAGATTAAGTCCAAGAGACGATGTAAAATATCCCTCCATTTCTCTCTCTCGTTATCCATTGCCGCTTGATGAACTTAATCAATTGTTTTTTGAAGCTTCAATCCTGCTCCCAAGGTTTTCCATTTCTCCAGGCATGAGAAATGCTGCTCAGAAGCCTTATGGTCAGATACCTTTGGGTTTAGCTTCCATGTTGCTTGAAACCCAGTGACAAAACTGGATGTTCCAATTCCTTTGTTATCAAGAGCAAACACTCTGCAGCAAAAACAAAATTTTCTTTTGATGGACAGTAAACCATCCATGTTCTCAAAACTTCCTTGCCATTTGGCAGAGCCTTACTAGTTCAATATAGAATAGTACTGTAGTTATGGACGTAAATCTGAAATGTTGTTTACTGTATTAAACATGTAACTATTCACATATCTCCATGCAGTCACATCATCACCCTCTCTGTCTTAACATCACTATGTAGTTACATTAAACAAATCATGCAGTCATATCACCACCACCATCGTAATATCACCACATAGTCGTCATAAAAACTCACTCAGTCATACATATCATCGTTACTTCAGTAGTCATGGTTGTCGGAAAAAGTTAAGTCTAAAGTTTAGTTTAGTCACAGGGACCACCATTCATAAACACAAGTTTCTATAACATCACGACGATGCATTTATAAACACTTAAACATCACATTGTCAAAAATTACTGGATACTCTTATAAGTACCATGATATTGTTATAAACACCAGCACTTTATGCTTTATCATAATTATTTAATGAAATATACCTTATTTATGTAGAGTCAGAGTGTCAAGTGAACTACACTTTGAATGTCAGTTGCACCCGGCAGGCCATGCTTAACAAACTGTGACTGAAAGGTCAACAAACGTTCGCCTTTAGATGTCATTTTTATCAAATATTTAATTTTTCGTTTGTAAATTTTGTATTGCCAACAAAAAAAAAATTATAGTGGAAATTAACATTAAACAACATTAACATAGACATGATTTTAATAGACTAAGGCAAAAAACAACAGCAATAAGGCTGAAAATATGTGATAAATCACGTGATTTATGTCACAAAGTTTTAGCCTTTTTGGTACAGATATGGCCCGGCATGGCCAGGTAGTTAGGGCACTCGACTGGTAATTTGAGGGTCGCGGGTTCGAATCCCCGTCACACCAAACATGCTCGCCCTTTCAGCCGTGGGGGCGTTATAATGTGATTGGTCAATCCCACTATTCGTTGGTAAAAGAGTAGCCCAACAGTTGGCGGTGGGTGATGATGACTAGCTGCCTTCCCTTTAGTCTTACACTGCTAAATTAGGGACGGCTAGCGCAGATAGCCCTCGTGTAGCTTTGCGCGAAATTCAAAAACAAACAAACAGGTACAGATATGTCGATGATACTGTTACCTCTCCATTTGTTAATTAACTTTCCGTAACTTCGTTCCGACGAAACTTTAGCGACACAAGTCCTTACTTAATAAAAACTGGTTTATTCTTTCTGAATATAACTTTACCGATACACTTATTTTCAACAGTCGCTCTTTTACAAACGTTTTAACAACGAACGTTAACTTCAACAATACTTCCTGACTGCAGTTCAATTACTCACTACCTACACACACATTATCGTCCCGTCACGTTGTCACCCTCTTATATATACCAGGCTACCCTATATCTAGTAATCTCCCGACAATTCCCGAAGGTTCGAGAGAACGAGTCACGTGACCTCGCTGACGCAACAACTGGTTTCACTTCTTTTCTATCGATTCTGTAATTCTTAATGACAGAAAAAAAGTAAAATACTGTTACTCATTTTCTACAAAAGGGGTTTCATGACGTAACACTACGTTGAATAAAATATCCCTGTAGGTACAACAATAACACAGGCCTGCTATTATTTTATTGTTTGTTTGTTTTGAATTTCGCGCAAAGCTACACGAGGGCTATCTGCGCTAGCCGTCCCTAGTTTAGCAGTGAAAGACT